CGACTGGCAGCGCCAAGGGGGACAGGGGCAGGGAGAAGCCAAGAGGTCAGGAGGGCAGTAGCAGGCCTGTAGAAGTGGGGCCACATGACCAGGCCTCCCTCACTAGGACAATAGCCTCAGCCACCCTGCTGGGCCTATGGAGATATTGCCTTGGCATCTCACTTGCTCATTTCTATATAGATTGAAGGACCCCCACCAGGTCCCCCACTATCCCAGTAAAGGTCCCCCATCTTTCTCAGGTATGACTGGCCCAGCCAGGAGAAATACCCGGTTGGACTCAGCTCTTCCCCTCCCCCTCAGCCTCTCCCCCAGCCCCCACCAACACTTGAAGTCTCCTGAGGTCACTGATGGGAGGGGCAGTGGAGCCAGCAAGTGGTGGGGGACCCTGGAGGACCCTCAGCGCCAGCCCCCAGCCTGCCCCCTTTCATCCCCCGCCACAAAGGGCCCAGCAGCTCCAGTCCTATCCATCTTGCTCCACAGCTGTCCTTAGGCAGCTCTTTGCGGGACCTGGGGTCAGGGGCCCTGACCAGCACTGCCCCTCTCCTCTGACCCTGGCTCTGGGGGCCTTTATTCTCCTTCTCACCACCTCCAAAGCATCTCAGTCCTCTCCAGTCTGGATTCTCTGGCTCCCTACAGCCTTTCTTCTGTCTCCCTCCCCAGTTCCTGCCTTTCCTTTCCTCCCAACCCAGTCTGCCCCTCTCTCTCCTTCCCCCTTTCCTTCCCTTCTTTCTCTCCTTTCTTCCTGTCCCTGGCTCCACTCACTTCTGCCAGGCCCCCCACGTGAATTCTTGGCCCTTCCCATCACCAGTAGGCATGCAGGGCGCTGCCTCTGGGGGCTACAGGGGCAGCCCAGGCTCTCTCTGGGTTTTCTCCTATCTGGCCTCAGCTGTCCCTTGTCTCTTGGTTTGTACATTACTGAAACTTTTTCTCTTCTCTACATTCTTGTTTCTTTGTGTCTATGTGTGTGCATGCCTCAGTTTCCCCGGAACATTCCCTCAGTGGCCACCATACTCATCCCATGTTTCAGCCCCCAGCCCCTGGGAGAGCCACACATGGCCCCTACCTGTCTTGCCCTTCTACCTCTCTGATCCTCACCCCAACCCCTCCCTGGCGGGACCTGGGTCTCTGTGGTCCCCCTGCCCATCCCCCCTCAGTTGGAGGGGGTCTGAGAAGTTTGGACTTGTGTAAACTGCCATAGAGACCTCATGAAATTTTCAGGTTTCTGTGGGGAAGTGCAGGTGGGGGGTGGTTCTTGTGTATGCGCTCTAAAATGCAGTGCTGAGAAATGCACTGGTAAGGAAGAGGAACCCCAGAGCCTGGAGTGGGTGGCTTCCTGGGGACTTGCTTACAGCAGGCCAGGCTGGTGGGGGGACCCTCCCTGATCCAATCTCTGGTGCTAACTTCCCTGTCGTCTCAGGCTTGGGGCTGGGAAACACTGAGACATAGGGGGTGGAGAGGGCCCCGCCTGTTCTATACCACCTATTATGCTGGGAAGATGCAGTCTCAGCCCTGGGAAAAATATTCCTCTTCTCTCTGCCCGTAGCAACTTTGTTCCAGAGGCAAATTGTAGATGCTGAAGCAGGTGGTCCAAACAGACCCGAGCCCCAGTAGAGAGAGCTCTGTTCCTGGGCTGGGAAGGGGACAGCTGACAAAGACTGAGGTGGGGGTGAGTCAACTCAAAGTGGGAAAAGTAGGCTGAATGGGGAGCCAGCTGTCCAGGAGGGGTCAGCAGAGCTGGCCTCAAAGAAGGGTCCGAGGGTGGAGGCCTTGAAGAAACAAAAGGAAGCCAAAGCCCAGGCTGAGGAGTTTGGGCTCTTCTGGATTAGATCAAGGAGAAAACTGGCATCCAGAAGACTCCATGTGGTTCATTTTTCCATTCCTACGCAAAGCACCCCCAGCTGCTTCCACCCCAGCCAGAACCCATGAGCCATTCTTGACCTTCATTTTTCTCCCTCTCACCTCTAATACATCACTGAGTCTGCACCCCCCTAGTTTTGCACCCCCCTCAGTGGATTTCTGTCCACCAGAGCCCAGCCTCCTGCTGCCTTTCTTCACTCTCTCTTTCCTCAGTCCAGCTCCTCCTGATAGCCAGAGGAAACTCTTGAAAACACAAACAGAATACCTCCCCCCTTTTAATTTTTAAAAAATATTTATTTATGCGTACAAGAGCTTGGGTGCAGGGCAGAGGATTCACCAGAGACAGAGTGGGGAGCAGAACATGCGGATGTACTGAAGTACATGGCTGAGGGGAGCAGTGGGGGAGACAGGAGAGGTCTGTGGTGCCATGTGTGTCCCTTCCCTGACTGGGGATTGAACATACGCCACAGTGGCTGCAGATAGCTTCATGGTGCTGCGGCTTAACCCATTGCACCACCAGGGAGGCCCCCACCCCTCTTTTTAAATCCTCCTGTGACTTCTCATTGCTCTTAGAATAAGATAAGGAGCACTACAGGGCCCCATGCCCTTCAGGCTCTGCACTCGGCCCAGAGCTCCCAGTGGTCCACACTGCAGGCCTGTGGACCTTGCGCAGCCCCAAGCTGTCCTCAGCGCCTAAGCGCTTGACTCCCTCTGCCCGGAGCACATCCTCCTCTGTCGTGCCCAGTAAGTCTGCAGCGTTCACTGTTTTGTCCTCCCAAGCACCTGCCATTCCAGCACCTCTGCTCCTCATTCTGAGGGCCCCCCCATGGCCCTCTGGCTCTGCCACAGTATGTGTTGATCTGTTCAGTGGTGTGCTTATTTGTAGTCATCTGTCTTTCCCTGCTAAAGGTCTGTTTTCCCCCTCAGCCCCCCAAGGGCAGAGATCTTATCCATTTTCTTCATCCCTGTGTCCCAGTACTAGCAGGGTGCCCAGCTTTGAGGAGGGAGGCTCTGGAAACAATAGATGAATAGGTGGGTGGACAAATGAAAGGGCCCCCACCTTCTCCAGCCCCTGCTCAGAGAGGGGCCCCTCTTACCCAAGGATTCTAGACATTGTCTCCCTGTCTCCTGTCTCCCACTCCCCGGTCCTGACCTTCTGCCCTCAGCTGTAGCTGTGGCCTCTCCCAAGCGGGGACAGGAGTGCAAGCCCTGGCCCCAGGGCACCCTGGTCTTTCAGGGCAGGAGGCTCACCTGCCGACACAGGCCTCGGAGGCTATGGAGCGTGACCACGGGCTGTCAGCGTTGACAGAGTGGGAGGCTGCCTCAGGCTACGCCTGCCCAGGAGTGCAGCTGTGGGGACACGTTGGGCAGCTTAGGGCAGGATGCTGGGGCAAAGCCTGCCTGGAGAGGCCATGCGGCATTGGGCAGGCCACATCTGCAGGGTCTCTTATACCCCTATGAACTTTAGTCTGGACAAAATAGGGACTGAGACCCACCTTGATGGCCTGCATTCCGTCAAGACGAGGGAGCTGACCCACAGGGCACAGCAGACCTCTCCTGTCTCACTCGCTGCTCCCCTCAGTAGTGTGCTTCAGTCAGTCTGCTTGTCCTGTTCCCCACAACGCTCCCCACCCCAGTGAATCCTCTCAAACTCACACCTCTGCCCCGTACCCCAGTTCTATGCAAAAGTAAATAAAATCTTTAAGAAACAACAAAAGAGGGACTGAGATTGTTTTTGTTTTGCTTTTCTTATTTTTTAAAGATTTATTTATTTATGCATACAGAACTTGGGTACAGGCCAGAGGTGTGGAGGGTGAAAGGGTTCACTAGAGACAAGAGTGGGGAGCAGAACAGGCGGAGTGACAAAGTACACTGCTGAGGGGAGCAGTGGGCGAGACAGAAGTGGTCTGCTGTGCCATGTGGGTCGCTCCCTGGCAGGGGATTGAACTCGTGCTGCCGTGGAGTCAGAGCTTCATAATGTGGTGCTTCAACTCGTTTCACCACGGGGGAGAGCCCTGCTTTTCTTATTTTTTTAAACAGAATACGTAACATTTATGTTTTGAAGGATGCCCCAACTGCATTACAGACAGTAATGCTACATACTTTGTAAAATTTATTTTACTTGTTTCATAGCATGCTTTTAAGGTAGATGTTTTATACAGCTGCTATTTTATAGATTAGTAACCTGAGACTCACTGGAAAACTGCTGCCTTCCATCCCACAAGATTCCCGGGGACTCCGCTCCACCTGTCCCTGGGCCATGGTGTGGCGTGAGGGCCAGGCCTGGCCAGGCATCAGGACCCTTGACCTGCCAACAGCAGCTAGTCTGGCTGGTCATGTGATATAAGCAGACCCAAACTGAATTCCTCGGAGACGCTGAAAATGTGCTCCCTCTTCTTTTGGGACCTTAAGTTGTAACCTTTGGGCACCTGAAGGTAGTTTCCCAGACTTGGCGAAACCGCGTGATAGGAATATGACCAACGTGCCAGAGAGGCAGAGGTGAGCAGGACACACGCGGGCGAGCGGGTGATCTTGTCTGAGGCTCTGGACCTGGCATGCCTGAAGCGAGACTGAGCTAATTGTCCCATGTGCATAAACCATTCAATTCCATTATTTATGTTTTTAAAAAACTGACAAACCCTCATCTCAAAGAAATAAGTCTCTTGTCTGAGGCCACACCCTCTCTTATTCCATGCGCAGTCACTATCACGCCAAGATAAAGAAAGCACCAGGCAGGTGAGCCAGGTCGGAGCTGCTGCTACAGAAAACCAGGTGCGCAATGAGGTCTGGGGAAGGAGGGCAGACTTTTGAGACACTGATGGAGGTCAGGGAAATGTGTTACAGGTGTGGCGTTTAAGGGAGAAGAATGGGATAAGGCACTGGGGGCCCTGATCATCTAGAAGCCAGGCAGGAGGGGGTGTGGGAGATCTCGAGGCAGACATGGCTTAACTGCTAGTCTGCGATGGACAGGCAGGACAAGACTTCTGTCAGGAGGCCTGGACCAGAACAAGGCCAGCCTGTGGGGGACAATGAGCTCATCTGGCTCCCTCCATATGGGAGGCCAAGGCCAGACATGGGGGGGGGGGGGAAGATTGGGGTTGGAGAGGTGAGAAGGAACAATTGGAGGAGGAGGAGGAGGAGGAGAAGCTGTGTCACCACTGTGGAAAATGTGGGAGATAAAGGAGGGAGCCGGCACCTCGGCTGAGGGCCTGCGGAGAGGAGGCAGCCCTGCGGCCTTGAGAGCCAGAGTGGGTTGCATGGAGGCTGGGGGGGAGGAGGGGTGCAGGTGATGCTTATAGACTCTGCAGCAGCTGAAGGAGTGGGGAGAAGGCGGGGGGAAGGACTCCCTTGCTGGTCATACATCCAGGAGGTGGAACTGTTCCCTCTCCCACGCTGCCTCCAGAGGCCAAGTGGAGCTCAGGCAACTATCCCCTTGCCATCGAGCCACAGACAGTTTTTGTTTTCTAAAACATTTTAATAAAATTAACCAATAAATATTCTACCCCAGGAGGCTACAGGGACCAAGGGTAGAAGCCAGAGGGCCAGTTTTTCCCACCCGGGCCCTCAGGTCCCCTCACAGAAAGAGATCTTGCTCTGGGTTGGTTTGGGGGGCGAGTGACTCTGGAATGGATGATCTGGGCTCTTGCAACACATCCCTCTTTGTTGGTGGAAAGCAGGGGAAGAAGGACCAGAAAGAGCCCTGCATGAGGCATCCCAGCACCCCCAGAAGCCAGTAGGGTTAGGGGAGAACTAGCCTAAAAGGAAGGAATGGGGGGGGCATGAAAACAAGGGGAAGGGCTGCCCATGCTCAGGAGGAAGCACAGACTGGTGGTGAGCCAGGGCAGCTCCTGGACCGTGGCCACTCACTCTCGAACGTAGACTCTGGTGCACACCACGTCGTCTGCAGTCATGGTCTGGAAAGACAGAAGTCACTATCAGTCTGGGAGATTCCTGGGTCCTGTGACTGGGGACCAGGAAGATTCTGCTTCACCTCTCCTTATCCAAAGCTGCTTCTCAGTCAGGACTGTAGACGGCAGCTGGTCCCAAATTTCTGGGCACCGCAGAAAGGAGGCTGGCAGGGGTCCATCCAGCATCTCCTCCCCAAGCCAAAACCTACTCCCCTCCAAAAACCTACTGGGGCCTTTCCATGCATGTCCTCTGCTCCACACAGAAGGAACACCATTTCTCATCTGCACAAGCACATTGTGTGGGACAACTAGCTTTGCTGTGCCCAGCAGCCCCAGCAGGAGGGGCAAGACCAGTCATAGCTGTCCTCCAACCTCCAGCACCAGGGGCTGGTTCAGAAAACCCCCGGACCCAACTGGGAGGACACAGGCCTTACCAGGATCAGCTCTTCATCATTGGTCAGTTCCCTAGTCCAGGAAGTCTTGGGGCCCTCTCCCTTCAAAAGCCTCTGCTCGCAGACCATTTTGTTCTCACTCTCCCATTTCACCAGGCTCTGCAGGAGAGACGTGGCTGAGTGAGCTGGGCCCAAGGCAGGGACAGTGCAGCCCCGCCCACCTGCCAGGGCCTTTTACCATTGGAAATGGAGAAAATGATCCAGGAAGAGACTGAAACGTGTGGAAAAGTGTGCAGAGGTGAAGGAATAGGAAGCTTGACTCTGAGGAGCCCCACCTTGCAGGGTCACTCACCTTGCAGGGTCCCTCACCTTACAGGGTCACTCACCTTGCAGGGTCCCTCACCTTACAGGGTCACTCACCTTGCAGGGTCTCCCGTCCACGGTCTGCTCCTCGAACTCTTCTCCGATCTTGAAGTTGATCTCAGTGGTACGCACAGTGGTAGAGGTTTTGATGTAGAAGGTGTCTCCCTCCTGTTTGATCTCCACTGCTGGCTTGGATGCTGCAGCCACAGCAATCTTCCTCAGCATCACGTTCACCCCTGCAAGGAGAGAAGACAGGTGTGTCTTTAGGGGCGCTCCAGACCCCTGCCTCGTGCCCTCTGGTGGGACAGTGGCGCAGGCTGTGGGGGGTGGGGGGGTGGGGAGAGAACACAGTTGGCCTGGTGTTCAGAAAAGTACCTTTAAGAAGAATGGGTGAAAAGTACCTTTAAGAAGAATGGGTGAAAAGTACCTTTAAGAAGAATGGGTAGCCCAGCCCCAAAGGATGGTGGGGTTCGGGCAAGAGGGGGGCAGAAAGGCAGTGCCCTGCCCTGAGGAGTCTGTTCCCAGTTGCGCCCCACCTTGATGAGTCAGCAGGCCTGGATGGAGCTTCCCAAGTCTCAGGGCTTCACACTCTGAGTTCTCAGGGGCAGCTTCCCCAAGTTCCCCTTTCTCAGCAGCATCCTGCTGTGGACCCTGCTCGCCTCGCTTTCATGGCTTTGTCCACCCGTTAGAGTCCCTCTCTGGGTAGGACCATCACAATCACTGTGCTGTACCTGTCAGAGGCAGGGGAGACACTCTGCGGCCAGGCCTTGCCCTGGAACCTGGGGCCACTTTCCTCTCTGCCCTTTCCACCTTTCCTGTCAGGTGCAAGTTAGGCCTTCACTTGCCCAATCTCGGCCACACCCCAAATGAGAAGAGCTGGGCTTCCCAGCAGGGAAAGAGGTGGGGCAGCTCATTCCCTATGCTGCCTTTGGGGCTGGGGCTGTCCTGCAGCTTCAAGAAGCTGGGCACTCTAGGCCTAAGATTCACTAGGCTGTGATTGCGACCTGGCTCAGCCCTCAGAAGGCTGGGTGACCCAAACAAATGGTTTAAGCTGTCTGACCCTTAGATTCCTCCACTGCAAAATGGAAACAATAGTTTTTTCACAAGCCTTTCCCATGGGACCTAGCATATAGTGCCAGGCACACTTTTAAGTTGTCAAGAAATAATAGCTATGATTCTTGTTTCTATTTTTTTTAAAGATCTATTTATTTATGCATACAGAACTGGGGTACAGGCCAGAGATCCGGGGGTGGTGCTGGTGAGAGGATTCACCAGAGACAGAGTGGGGAGCAGAACAGGTGGATGGACTGAAAAACACTGCTGAGGGGAGCAGCAGGTGGGTCAGGAGAGGTACCATGTGGGTCACCTTCCTGGCCGGGGATTGAACTCGTGAGCAGGGACTGCAGATCACTTCATAGTGTTGTGCTTTAACCTGTTGCACCACCAGGGAGGGCCCTGTTCCTATTATTTTTATTGCAAAAAGGAAGGCAAAGAAAAGGCCAGAGCTGCCCAGAGTTCCTTGCAGCAGACTCCTGCTCATTTGCCCTCCTGAAAGACTCCTATGCTGTTCTTCTCTCAAGGGACACCACAACTACCCCTCCTTGCCCTAATGTGTCCCCTGCTCCAGACCACCTGCCCACCTCAGTGGTCAGGCTTTGTCACTCACCCACTAAGGATTCAGAGTCTCTGTGCCCTACCCACATATCCCTTTCCAGATTTGACTCCCTGCTCCCCAATTAATAAGAGGGTGGCGGACCCAGGAGAGAACACCACTTGCAACAGAGGCTTGTCTCAGCCCCCACCCAAAGGCCAGGGTCCTGGTCCAAGCTCCACACCACTGAAGCAGGCCTGGCTCCCAACTCTGAACCAGCACAGAATCCTTCAAGGAAGCAATAGGTGTGAATGAGTGGGCAAGTTGGGTTGTGCCAGGTGAGTGGGATTTCCCTGCCCTCAACCGCCCACATTCCCTGGCCTTCCTCCAGACCTGGAGTCCTAGAGAAACAGATCTCCTTCCCTATGACACCAAAGCCAGCTCACTCTGTTCTGGATTGAAAGGAGCGGGAGGGAGGAAGCCCTGGGCTGTGGGAGTTCCAGGAGTCTCCCTCACCACTGCTGATTTTGGGGTCTTGGGAGAAACAACTGAAATCCCAGCTCTAATTCACTTGGCAGAGGAGACTCGTCACACTTCATCTCGGAAGAGACCACTTCACCTGGGAAGTCCATCCTGCGATCTTACGCCGAGCTCTCCTGTTACGGGAGCCGAACCTGCCACGGCCATCATCCTGCATGGGACAGCTATTCTCCACATACCTGAGCATCTCTTCCCAGGACAAGGTAAAGGGAGGTGAGAAGGGATCTAGGTTTCTGTGAAGCAGGCACGGTTGGGAGGAGACACCCAGCCAGGCTCTGCTGAGTTTGGAACTGGAGTTAAGGCTAATCTGACCTTGGCTGACACAGGACTGTGTTTGTGTAATGGGTCTGTTTTCAATCTGCCCCCCAGCAGGGCCTGAGGAGGGCACGTGGCTCCCAGAGACCCTGCAGGGAGAACAAACAAACTGAAGACAGAGAGACAACAGGATTGGGTTTGGGATCATTCTCTCTCCTGCTGGAGCTTGAGTGTTGCCACTTAGAAGAGGGGCCAGAACCCAGAAAAGATGGGGGAGAATGGCATAGTGACTTTCTGAAAGTAAAATTTTAATCCTTTTGGCCTTTTATTTCCGCAAGGGCAAAGCAAGGCTGATATGAAGTCCTGGGGTTAGAGTATGAGAAGAACTAACAGCAAGGAATGATGGAAATTACTGCTTTTCCCATAGGGTTTTTGATCCTTCCAAGGTCCAGATTCACTTCCAGAGCTCCTTGCCCCCTTCCCCAGCCCAAATGGAATTTGTTTTGAAATCCATGGCGTATGCGTGCCCTTGGGCTTCAGGACTCCCCAAAGCTTCTGAATTGCTGGAGTCCTGAACGAACCTCCATCTGTCCCCAGAGCCCTCCCCTCAGCCAGTCCCAGGCTTGCCCCCCCACCAGACACAGGAGTCTGGAAAGCCAGTCTAGGAAGGCTGCTTCCCACACCTTTGCCCAATACAGGCAACAGGGCTAAGTGGGGGGAGGGTCTCCAGGGAGGGAAGGAGAGGAGGACTCTGAACTTCAGAAATGGGGGAGGCGTGGGTTTTCACACAAAGCCATTTGTTGAAATCTAAGAAAGTGATAATTATCCTGAGCGATTTGAGGACGCTGGAGCTGTTGGCTGTAGGAAAATATTTTCCTCGCAGATTGGGGAGGGGTGGGGGTCAGAGTGGAGAGTGTTGAAATGGGAAGGAAGGAAAAACAGGGATTGCAGGGGTGGTGGATCACCTGGATCACCTGGTGGGTGGAGCCCGCGCTGGAAGGTAACGAAGGAACGTACCCTGGGGATTGAGTTACCGCGGGGACACGGGGAAGGAGGCTGGAATATCTCTGAGGTGCACGGTTGGTAGGGTCCCAGGCTCCGGCCTGGATGCAAGATTTTCAACTTCAGAACTACGAAGTGGCCCCCTGTCCCGCCCCCAGGGGCACCGAGCTCGTGCATCTGGTTTCTACTTGATTCACAAGCTGAGTCACCGAGGAGCTGGCATCGGTGGGCGCCCCGCCGGGAAAAAGCAGGATTTCGGTATCCCAGCCCAGCTCCCCAGGACCCAGGGGTCAGGCCCCTTTTCTTGAGGATGCAGGCGCCCAGCCTCCCGCGCCCCGGCTCTAGCCCCCTCCCCTCTTTCTCCTATCACTCCAAGGATTCCGGAGCCTCTTTCTCCTCCGTGCACTGGAAAATCTCCTTACCCAGCACTTTGAGCAAATCCTCGAAGTTTTCCGATCGGATGATTTTCCAGTTGCCAGAGAAGTTGGGCATGGTGACGGCGTGGTCGATGGTCCCCCTAAACCCTTCAGCTGGAGCACTGGACGCTGAGTCCTTTCGTCGAAAAAGGTAGCCGCCGCCTTCGCCCGATCGTGGGTCTTAGGAGGTAGGACACGTCCCAGGACAACCCCGAAGCCGGCTGTGCTCCCGCGCTGGCAGGCTTTATACCCTGCGCCGGCCCGCCCCAGTCCAAGAATGAAGTGGCCCCGCCTCTCGCCCCGCCCCCAACCCCACCTGGGGGGCCAAGAGCGTCGGGTCTGCTTTACCACTAACCCCCCCTTCCGGACGTCCTAGGGCTTTCTAGCCCCACGGGTGATCTAAGGTTCTTTGGGGCCCCACGGGCGGCGGTGGGAAGATGGGGAAGCGGATAGAGGACGAGTACAGGGACTGGGCTCTCAACCCAGAGCGAGGGCACCAGGCCACAGGCGCTGATGCTCGGGGCTCAGGTCCTGCAGTCGGAGCTACCGGGGCGCGTCTCGCCAGCTCCCAAACCTGACTCGATGCCAGGGAGACCACCAGTGAGTGGGTGAAACCCTGCTCGCGAGACACCGCTGGGGGAGAGAATGCGCGGCCCAGCTCCAGCTCCACTGAGGTCTGATCCGGATTCAGTGTGACGATTGGAACTCAGAAACCTGTTGGGGAGTCCTGGGGTTTCTGGGCCGGGCACCTAAATGAGGCAACGGCGCCCCCTGCCGGAACGAGTCGAAGAGGCTGGGAGGGGGCAGCACCCCGACCCCCAGTTCCGTTTCTGGCTCTGGGGTGACTGAGAACTCTGCAAGTTGACGCTGAAAGACTCATTCTTCTTAAGGCGTAGGGCGGCCATCGAAGGGTTAAGCCTGAGCCCCGGGCGCGAGGCTGGAGAGGGCAGAGGTCGCCGCCAATCACTTGACACGAGCTCATTATTAAGGCGCTTTCCTAGTCACTAGGCTCCCAGACCCCCAGGGGATCGCAGTAGGAGGCGGGGGGGGGGCGGGGACAAAGGCGCGGGGCCCCGGCGCGCGGCGCTGCCTCCCAGCTTGGAGGAAGACTGGGTGCCCGGGGAAGGGGCGGAGCAGGGTCTCAGGTGTCACCCTGCGGAGTTGTAAAACTGGCGGAAGGCTCGGCCGCCCCTCGGCGAAAGTCTTTGAAGTGGGAGATCAAGAGAAGTGGGGGAGGGCACTGTCCCCTGAGGAGACTCAAGTAGGGGTGGGCGAGACCCAAGGAGAGGGTTGGGTGACCGAGAAACTAACGCAGGATAGGCGGGAACCTCGGAGACGGTGGGAGACCCCAGGCCAGAGACCGCGAGGAGCCGAGCACCGGTGCTCGGGATGCGCGCCTGGAGCTGGCTGAACCTTCGGCCGCTGAGGGCGCAGACCCGCGGAGCCAAGGCTGCCACCCAGTTGCCCTCGGCGAATCCGCGCACGTGGCCCAGCTGCCCAGACCGCGCCTCCCCCTCACCCCTTCTAAGGGGACCGCCCTTCCAGCTCCTTGAGGCGGGAACGAAAATCTCAACATCTGGTCTGAGTCCTGGGTCCTTGCCCAGGCCCCTCCCTGCCAGCGTGGCCCTGGGTGGAGCCCAGGACGGGCTTTCTGAGATCCAGCGCTTGCCCTGAAAGCGGGGAGCTGTCTAGGAGGTTGTGGGCCTTAGCAGCAGGGAGTCCGGGGCAATGGAGCCAAAGGAGAGGGCTCCAGCCTTCACCGCGGTGTGGGCTGAAAATCCTGGAGGACCAGCTGAAGGCCGGGCCTCTGCTCTAGAGGGAAAAGTCTGAACAGCGAACGTGTGGAAGAAATAAAGCAGCTAGGGCGTCTGCAGCAGAAGGGATGGAGACTTGATGGACAAAGGATTTCGTGATGGCGCCCCCCCAAGCCCCCCTCAATAGTAGCTTATAAACTGTCAGAATTGAGGAAGGGGGCTGGAGGCTTCAGTGTGGTTTTAAGAGTCCAAGTTGGGTGTGAGAAAGCTGATTTTGGGGTGGGGGTAACCTGGCATCTATCTGGAAGGGCAGTAGGATGAGCAGCTTTCTGAGGAGGGCCTGGTGAAAGCAGAGGTGGTGGAAGGGAGGTGGTCTCTGGAGGGTGCTTAGGGGCTGGGGTTGCGGACTCGGGCTGTGCTCCTCCCCCACCCTCCCGGCCCGCTCCCGCTCCGCTGTAGGTAAAGGGAGGGGGATTAGGGTCTGACAATGAAGTCAGGCGCTGAGCCAAAAGGATGAAGAGAGGCTGGGGGAGGGAACATGGTGGAAACCAGACCCCTGCTGCCCCTCCTTCCCCCACTGCTCCCTACCTCTTCCACCCAGGTCCCCACACCCATCTTCACTCAGCCCCACTCTGGCCCTCTGCAGCCACGGGGCCAGCTCTACTCAAAAGGCCTCCCTCTTACTGCAAAGACAGTGCCCACCCCCTGCCTAGTCTTAAGGCTCGGGATGTCCGCCACCCAAAAGATGGCTCACTGGGAACCCAGACCTTTGGAGCAGGGAGGCAGGGATGTCTGGCCCCAAGGAGACTCGGGAGACTGCAGGGAGCTCCTTAGGGCTGCGGCTGGGAGGCCTGGTCTACCCTCCTCCCTTCACTTCCTCACTCCCCCTACTGGCCAGCTGGCCAGAATTTCCAAAGAGACAGGAGTAAGACAAAGGGAAGTTGGGCTGGGAGGGGAATTTTTTCCAGATGTGAGTGTTTGTGGTTTGGCAACTCTGAGCCTGAGCTCCAGCCCCTTCATCCCAGCCCAGACTGAGGGAGGTTGGGTAGATGGGCGGACTGCGCAGAGCAGGACTCTGGCTGGCTAGGGCTGGGGGGCTTCGGCTGGGGGGCTCAGCCTCCAGGCTGCTCTGTTGCCTCATGGGAGGATGTAGGCCTGGGGGGTGGGTAGAGTGCATAGGGAAGATGCAGGGGAAGGACATGATGGAGGGGAAAGGGGTGATCGAAGAGGGCTGGGCACTGGGAAGGGGGGCTACCAGTGGAGGATGGGGGAGCCTTGGGGTAGAGGGAGGAGCTTTGCGGCATCAATCCCTCAGTCACAAACAACTGGCTTTAATTTCCCGCCGGGATCAATAAGGAGAAGGAATTTCCCAGTGTCGCTGGCCTTTTAATTATGACCAAATCTGCTGCAGATTTGCAGGGAGCAGTCCCTCCCCCCTTTCTAAGAGCCTTGGTTATACCCTTTTGGGGCTCCCCCAGGAATTTGGAGGCTCAAGTGGGGGAAGGGTGAAAAAAGCTTGGGGAGGCAGGTTGGGGGTGGAGTGGGGAGGAAACATCTTGGAGTTAGGAAAGGAACATTCTAGTACTTTTTCCCGTGGCAATATGGCTAAGAAGAGTGGCTGCTTTGCAGCAGAAGGAACTGGGTTGTCAGGCTCTTGAATGTTAGAGAAGTGTGAGTGTAAATGGATGCAGATGTGTGTAGCCCAAGTGGTCTGGGGGCTTGGGGACAGGAGACATCTCCATCCCTTCTCATCCCTTCCATGCCTGGAGCTGGGTGGGAGAGGAAGGGACCACCCAGCCTGGACTGCTAGGGATGGGGAGAGTGGAAGAGTCATGAACCCCTCGCCCCGAACGGGGCCAAGGAGAGTCTCTGGCCAAATTCAGCACTTGTAGCAGAGCCTCACCCTTAGCAGTGTTATTGCATCTGCCTGGTCAGCGTTCGTTGGCCGAGAGTAGAAATTAGACCCAGGTGGAGCCGGACACCTGGGTCTCTGTCACTCTATATAGGGGCCTCCAGGGCAGGACTTCTATGGGGGAGGTGCAGCCTGAGAGTAGAAGGGAGAATGTGGAGTGGCTGGGGCAGGACTGCTGTGGCCTACCACCCCCTGGCTGGCAGCAATCAGTCCCAGCATCCGGCTCCCTGGTCTGATCTGATCCTCAGTACAAAGGGGAACATTCCATTTGTCTGTCTCCTTGGGTTCGGGACCATCCATCTCAAATCTGGTAGGGCCCAGCTTTGATTATTCTCATTGCATTAGGGCTGACAGGAGTTAGACCAAAAAAAGAGCTTCTCTCAAGCCTTAAGAGCAGGCTGGAAACATGATCAGGAATCTGGAAAGGAGGACTCACTTCTCAGAAACACTTGGGTATAGAGAAGAGGTTTTGAGAACCAGGGAAGTTTGGCAGGGAATCTCAACTACCTGGGGACAGGGGCAGTGCAGCCCAACGCTTAGCGACTCCCTGGGCTACCCCAGACCTGGCAGAGAGGCAGGTGAGGCCCAGAGAGTTCGGGACCACAGGCTGGGAAGAGGCGCTGGCTGTACCGAGGATTTACAGTTAGACCATGAGAGGATCGGCTCAGCACCCAGGCAGCTGGGCGGCTCCTCTGTTGTTTTTGGCTCTGCTACCTGGTTCCCAGCTCCAGCTGCCGCCGCCCACTCTCGCTCTCAGCTCTCCTCTTCTCCTCTGGCCTGGGCTGGCCGTGCTGAGCCCGCCAACTGAGGCAAGGGAGGGGTAAGCAGGAGGGGGATGTGCTGCATGAGGACGTGTCCTGGCTGACTCTGCCCCCTGACAGGTCCCTCTGCAGGAATGGTCAGAGGTGTGAGCAGCCATCGAAGGGTCAGAGGAAGCCCACACAAGGCCCGGGAGCCATGCACTGGCCTGTTTTAGGGTCCTGGGGTCTTTGCTTCTCTGCCCTCCTCCACCAAAACTGGTACCTCTTGCCAGTCTGCCATGGGTACTTCTTTCTCCATGGAGGGCCCTGCTCAGTTTTCTGCCCTACTACAATGCAGGGCACCAGAACCCCACCCTTTCCCCTGTAGACCCTGCTTCTCAGGGAAACTTCAAGTTGAGGTGGAGTCCAGTAGGTGCGGCTGGTGACATCTGAAACTGGTGGGCCCGGCCAGTTTCAGCCCATTGTGTCCTGCTGAAGGAATATCCCCCTTGCCCCCTGGGCATCATTGCAAGATGGAGAAATCAGTCAACACAGTGAGCCTTGCTTTAACTCCTTTTGGTTTTTTTGATCCAGTGGCTAGGGCCCCAATGTCCTTTACTGGCCCCTCTACCCCTGGCAGCCTGGGCAGAAGGGAAGAAGGCTGTCGTGGTGGCATCTGGCATACTGAACACCTGGGCTCGCATGGCACCTGGGATGGTGGTCAGCCTTGGGAAAGAACAGCCTGCAGCCTGGCCTCCACCCCGCCACAGGGGCCAGTGCTGGGCCTAGGGAAACCAAGTGCTCTCCCAGATACCTCCCCTCCCATGGGCTGAGGATGGGACTTGGAAGAAAAGTCTAGTGTTCTAATCCCTTTCCTGTTGAGATGACCGGAGTT